ACAAAAATTTAGAAAAAGTCAAATATAGCGAGATTTTTAATAGGTTAAACAAACACTCTACTCAAGTTGTGATATATATATATATATATATATATATATATATATATATATATATATATATATATATATATAAATTATAAAAATGCTGTAAAATGAACTCTGCTTGTTAAAAAAAAACATAGAAACTTGAATGGCATGTACAAATCTCGAAATCAACATACTAACTCTAAGTTTCAGAAAATCTTACAAAATTATCAAAATTACCGTCTTTATAATCCTCGATCGTATCTCTACAATCTTCCATAAAAACTAAACCAATAGAGTTCTGTTACAAATGTTTTTCCTTCTCAATTTCCTTTTGTTGAAGCAGAGCCTCCTTACGTATCTTCAAACTCATACCAGACGATATAAACTGCAAAACATATTGAAATACGTGAGAATATAGTTAGAAAAATGTAAAAAATTCATACAAAAAGAAAGCAGAGAGATGAGTCTGAGATTCTTTGATTGAAGAAGCCCTTGTATTTATAGGTAGAAAATACTAATTCAAAAGGAAAGTATAATAATTTATTTATTTAAGGGAAAGTATAATAATTTATTTATTTAAGGTGATAACATTATTATTATTATTATTCTTATTATTTATTTATTTATTTATTTAATTTCTATTTGACATTTACTTACCAAATAAGTTTTACTACAAAAGTTTTGGGGGGAAAATTTGTTAGGAGGATTTTACTTTTATATATATAATATAATAATATATATATATATATATATAGAATATAGATATAGATATAGATTTTCTTTATAAATGTAAAAATAATAATAAAATAAAATTGTAATTGAAGTAAAGAGGATGTTGACTTTTTGGTAGTGGCAGCTGTACATACCATATATATCGTGGTTAAACCAGAACGCTTTTATACCATGGCCCAGCATGCATGAGTACATACGTCAATTCAACTGTGTTTATTATTAAGCAATTACAAACTTCAATTAATTATATTATTACTCATCATAATGTCCAAAAATCCAAAGAGTTGGCATATATAGCAATATACTAGTATTTTTTTTTTTTTTTTAGCCATAAAGTATAAATAAACCACTGAATTATTTGAAAAAAAAAATAGCAATTAAGCCATCAAACACAAATAACTACCAAATAAGTCATTGAACCCGTAAAAAAAGGAGCAATTAACATTTTTAACCGGTTAACTTCAGATTTTTACTGACTGGATTGTAAAATGTTGATTTTATTTACGTTTTTTTTTTAATTATAATACACCTACATAGTAATTATATATATATATATATATATATATATATATATATATATATATATATATATATATATTAAAATAATTATAATCAACATAGTTTTGTCTTGTATAAATCTAATTATTATTATAAATCTAATCTTGTATAAATAATTATAATCAACATGATGATGATGATGATGATGATGATGATGATGATGATGATGATGATGATGATGATGATGATGATGATGATGATGACGACGACGATGACGATGACGATGACGATGACGATGACGATGACGATGACGATGACGATGACGATGACGATGACGATGACGATGACGATGACGATGACGATGACGATGACGATGACGATGACGATGACGACGATGATGATGATGATGATGACGATGATGATGATGATGATGATGATGACGACGATGATGATGATGATGATGATGATGATGACGATGATGATGATGATGATGATGATGATGATGATGATGTAAAATATTTTTATAAAATTGATATTTATATTTTAGGAAATAACTAATACATAACTCCAATATATAATGTGTATATATTATTATTATTATTGAAGAAGATAAGAAAATATATGGTGAATGCATATACATGGTAACGATAGTTGAAAAGATAACGGTAGGGGTATGTTTATCCAAAATATTATAAAGTACAAGTTTTATAACATAATGTATAAAAAAAAAATACTTATTAAGGTATGGCCTTCATCATACTTATTGGCCATGTTTGGTAAAATGGTTGTTAGTTGTTAGCTTATTGTGTTAATTAGAGAGTATATATAAATAGTTGATAACACTAGTTGATTGTAGAAAAATATTTGTAAATTAGCTGTTAGCTGATATATAGCTGTTTGTTATAATTTTTTATCTCAAAAAAGCTAATTGAAAAAGTTACTTGGAGTAGTTTTTTGAATTTTAGCCTTTTGGAGTTGCAAAAAGTTAATTAACCAAACATTTATATTAATATTTTAACTACATCAAACAATTAATAGTGGTCAAATAAGTCAAAATTGGTCTATAGACCAATTTTTTTACCAAACAGGGCCATTATGTTTTTAGATAATGTAAGGCTTCTCTAAATATAATTTTTCTTCCTCCAAAATGTTGAATTACCAACCTAAGGAGCCTATCTATATCCTGACCTGACAGGACATTTGGGAGGATGTAAATTACAAGGACTCAATGACTCTACAAACCGAGTCAAATGCCGCTTCTCTAAATTCTTATGTATGTATATCAAGCTAAGAGATTTTAATATTTCGTACTCAATTCCTATTATATTGCGTCAAATTCGCTTAAATTAAAGTTACCTTAACTAAGCAATTGAACAGGTAAGGCACCAAGTCAATTATTACAGGGCGTTTGGTTGGAGGGGGGGAATTATGTGGGAAAGGAATTGTAATTTCATGGGAGTTGAATTACTGGGAATAAAGTGGAATTTAAATTCCAGTGTTTGGTTGACAGGAATAGAATTACTGGGAATTTCAATTCCAATGTTTGGTATACATGGGAATTGAAAGGGAATAAGTAGTATAAAGTCAAAAACGTCCATTATTGTTTTTAGACATTAATTTTAGGTTAAAAAAGGAAGGGGTAATTTTGACTCATCACTATCTTTTTTTTCCAGGAATTAAAATACTAGGGGGGGGACATGGGATTTTAATTCCATGAAAATGAGGGAATTGCAATTCCATGGAATTGCAATTCCCTCCAACCAAACTACGGAATTTAATGACCTTTGGAATTAGGTGGGAATTATGTGGGAAGGGAATTTAAAATCCCTCCAACCAAACGCCCTGTTACTGATTTCACTCGAGAGGTAATTATTAACGTCTTATTTTGCAAAGTTGGAATGTTAATTTAGGGTGTGTTTGGTTGGTGGGTTTTGCCCATAGGAATGGGTATGAAAGTGATTGTTGTTCTTTGGTTGATAGGTTTTTAGAACACTACTATGAGTATCGAATACCCTATCAATTGAAAAACTCATACCCAAATACAATAAGGGTTTCATTCTCTTATCCATTCTCAAGCACTACTATTAGTAACCATTCTCATTCCACCCTACTACCAAACATGTTAAATACTTTCACCAAAATCCATTATCATTACTAAGTATTTGATACCCATTCCGATTCCTATGTGCGAACCAAACACACCCTTAGAGTTTTTGGAGTTAAATAATTTAATGAATGTGTTCGTAAAAGTAAGAGGAAGTTAAGATCTATTTGACACTTATCCTTATATTAATTTAATTAGTCAATAAGATGCTTGATTAACTTTTTTTTTTTTTTTTTTTTTTTGAAAGGAGCTTGATTAACTTTATTCTGTACCAATTCCATACAATTTATACAGTTTAATTAACTTTATTTATTCAAATCTTACATTATCAATGTAGAATATAATAATAATAGTGAGAGTGTGGGAGCAACCTTTCAAAGTGAAAGGGCTCCTTGTGCGCAGTAAGCAAAGGTCTAATCTTTGTGTTCAGTTACGTTATCATAATTTACATCCTTCCAGATATTCTATCGAACCGAACGTGGGAACCCTTGGAGTTGAGGATTCAATCTTTTGGGAACAATAATAATAGAGGTTGGGTTATAAGTGTGGACTAAGTCTTAAAATTATAACATCAACTCCTCATGAGATGGACAACATTAATTAATGCATGCATGGTTGTAAAATTAATGCATGTACTAGTGTATCCTATTGAAATGCCATGAGCAAAGTAAGTTTGCTGCAGGCATAAAGCTTACCCACAAAAAGCGAAAATTCCTTATTCTTAAGGATTCACACTCCAATTTGATAAGATAGTAAACTGGTAAATCAATGTAATTCATTGATCTATATTGGTGCTCACAAACTAAGGAGTCCATCACATTGGGTGTAATTCTCACACTATAATTGTCGATAAATTATACAATAATTCAGGATCCACCTTGCATTGTGAATCCTGGTCAAAAATAAAATTAAGATTATCTGTTTTTCGTTAACATATTATCTGCTTGTAATTATTACATGTGTCTATAAATAAATTAAAGACATATAATATGCAATTAACAAATTACGTGTCTATATTAACATATTTTGTGCCTTTAATAATTTATTAACAACAAATAATTTATTAACTAAAGGCACGTAATATTTTAATTGCAGATACATAATTTTTAGACCAGGACCCACAATGCAAAGTGGACTCTAGTCCATGGTATAACAATTGACGATTGTCAATTCAAGACTCGATCATATGTTATTGCTCACAAACTATCACTCAAGAAACAACTGAACGTAAACACTAAAACCCGCACAGACTTAGTTCAATGGTTCAGTAGGCTGTATTTGGGAGAACAGACCAATGTTTGAAACTCAGCGGTCGCAGTGTAGAGATTATACCCAAAGTGAACAGATTTCTTGTGTGCTCTAATATTCAAATGCTCTGTCGGGCCTGAACGTGAGTTTGGGAGAACGTAAACATTAGGTGTAGTTATGGAATGCACATATGATGACTGACAATTACTGAGACTCACTCAACGTAACAGTGCTCACACACTATATGTCCGCGTGACATTAATGCATTCTAACTAACTCCTTATCTGATCTGTAAAACCCTAATTAATGATATGATTTCTCCGACCACCTTCAACTGCTTATACATATCTATATATACCTTCATGCCTCATAATCTCTCTGTCACACATATACACACACACACTGACATATATATATCTATCTCCCACTTCTGCATCCTTTTGTGTATTCTTCATTTCTTCTGATCTTTGTGAATGGGTGGTGGGGGGTTTACTGGGATAATGAGAAAATGGGGAGTGGTGGTGATGTGCATTATTGTAATGGTGATGGTGAAAGAGGGTAGAGGTGAACCACAGGTTCCATGTTACTTTATATTTGGGGATTCTTTGGTGGACAATGGTAATAACAACAATATTGGGTCATTGGCTAGGGCTAATTACCTGCCTTATGGGATTGATTTCCCTAGTGGTCCAACTGGAAGGTTTTCCAATGGCAAAACCAATGTTGATGTCATTGGTATGTATAGTGTACTATTCTCTCTCTTTATCTATATTTTTTCTTTTTAGTACTACCTTCACTGAGGTTCAAACCTGTGATCTCCAATTTGAGAGTGCCACAGTCATGTCGCTCGACCATAAAGTCTTTCGCCACAATGGTTAATAATGAAATTTCATATTTTCTTCTTCTTTTTCCTCATCTTAACTCTATGAGTTATTGGCCACAACCTTTTTATTTTAAAACTTATTGACCCACAAAGGACCCAAAAACCCTTTTAGCGATCATGATTCACGTTGCAGTATAGCCCATAATGTATAGACCATTAATATATATATATATATATATATATATATATATATATATATATATATATATATGAACTAATAATCAGTATTATTATAATATAATATAATATGAACAGCTGAGCTGCTGGGATTCGAGAACTACATTCCACCATATGCAGTGGCTAGGGGACGAGACATTCTCAGGGGAGTCAATTATGCATCTGCAGCAGCTGGAATCAGAGATGAAACTGGCCAGCAATTGGTAAATTAAATTTACCATACACATGCATATATTATTAAATTAAACAAAAATCACATATTTAACCTTTCCTTTTAAGTTATATGAATATAGTATCTTAAATTATTATTGTAGCTATTGTTAGTCCCTAAATTATTTTCATGATAGTTTTGCCTTGAACATTATTAGAAATAATGTTACTACTATTCATTATTTAAAAAAAAAAAAAAATTAAGATAATCAGGGATATTTTTGTAATTTTGCCACATGTCAACATTGGGAGGAAGATGTTCTTAGCATGGATAATGTAGAGCTCCAATTCCAAAGATATATGTAGTCATATATGTAGGTTTTGACCAAATTAAAACAACCTCAGTCAAGTTGGTCAGATCAAATAATTGACTTGATAACAAAGTTTCAAGTTCGACTTTCATACAGTCTATTGACCGTACTTCCTCGTGGTCTTTTTCATCGTATCCAAAGCACATCTTTAGATAGTGCCTATAGGGATGGGCTTCCCTGTAAATCAAGCAACCTAGTGAAAAATGAAAAAGTATTGAATCATTTATGTCTATAACTTACAAACTAGATCTACCATACTCTCATAAATTAATAATTATAAATTCTCTCACTTTTTTTCACTATTATTTATTAATTCTTGTTTAATTTATAAATATGGATGTGTATGTATGCAGGGAGACAGGATTAGTTTCTCTGGGCAAGTAAGAAATTACAGGGACACAGTGGATCAAATAGTGCAAATAATAGGGAATGAGAACGATGCAGCAGATTATTTGAGCAAGTGCATATTCTCAGTTGGACTGGGCAGCAATGACTACCTCAACAACTATTTCATGCCCCTTTACTACACCACCAGCAGGCAGTATAACACTGAGCAGTATGCTGATATCCTCATTGACCAGTACACTCAACAACTTAAAGTAAGCACATCAACAATCCTCTTAGCGTATCACGTATGGTCAGCTCGGTTAGTTCCTAAAATAGTAAATTGTAGACAAGAATATAGGAGCATTATGCCCTGGACCCGTGTCCCTCCCATGTGCATGGTGGACACGCTGTACATTCATAATTTCTATATTATAAATTCATAATTTCTATACTGCACATTCATAATTTCTGTACTGTAGATTCATAATTTCTATACTGTAGATTCATAAAATTTATAATGTAGATTCATAATTTCTATACTGCACATTCATAATTTATGTACTGTATATTCATAATTTGATAACAATGTGCTCATAATTTGATAACTATACAGTTTAGAAATTATGAATTTACATTATAGAAATTATGAATCTATAGTACAAAGAAATTATGAATGTGCAGTATATAAATTATGAATCTACATTATAAATTTTATGAATCTACAATTTAGAAATTATGAATCTACAGTATAGAAATTATGAATGTAGAGCGTGTCCACCATGCACATGGTGGACACGGGTCCATAGCATAATTTGCCAAGAATATAGAATTGAGCCTGACAATCGGAAGTTACACCTAATGTGTACGTTGGACTCTTTGTACGCACCAGACACTGGTCCTTCCACCTAATGGGACACCGAGTTACCGTAGTTTTCTTCTCTACTATCCTGTAGGGTCAAAATGTGAGGATCGTGGGAGAGAAGCCAAATTGAGTGATAAGCTAACTATTTTACCAAATAGTATATCAATTTTATTTTTATTTTTTTTGAGTCCTATATCAAAATTTCATCATTGATAGAAATAAGGATTTATTATATATTAATTTTTGGGTGGATATAGACAATATACGATTACGGAGCACGGAAGTTTGTATTGAACGGAGTGGGCCAGATCGGGTGTAGCCCAAACGCGTTGGCCCAAAATAGCCCTGATGGTAGAACCTGCGTGGAAAGAATCAACGCGGCAAATCGGATATTTAACCGCAAACTGAGGGCACTTGTTCACGACTTAAACTTCAATACACCAGACGCAAAATTCACCTACATTAACGCCTACGATATGTTCCAGGATATAGTAAACAACCCCTCTGCTTTTGGTAAATTCCTCTTTTAACCCCACACATATATATATATATTTTTTTAACCCCACACATATATTAGTTACTTCATTTCTTTTATTTTACATACTTATTATTCACCTGGTTAAACCAACTTTTTTTTTAGTATTTTTTAATTATTTTTACTAATAGATTGATTTTTAATACTATTGACTCTATTATAATGTAGTATCTATCTATACATACCTTTTAAACCTATTGGAGCACAAAGAGTCACTCCCCGACTGGAGTTCGAACTTGTAGCCTCTTATTTAAGAGAGCCACATAGTTGCAATTACTTTACTAGTAGATTAACTAGACAAATTATTGTGTGGACCATGGCCCACACAGTACTGTGTGAACCATAACAAAAAGTACATTTTTAATATACTAAAAATATATTATTTTTGTACTGAATGTACATTATATAAAATAATGTACTTTCAGTACTCAAATAATGTACTTTCTCTGAATGTAATGTACATTTTAATATATTAAAAGTGCATTATTTGTGTACTGAATGTACATTATTTGATAGTATGATTCACACAAGTGTATGATTGGATTAATTGTGGATATGATTGTAATATAAATTGGGTTTAATTTAATAGTGAAATATATTGCATGCATGCAGGATTTAGAGTAACAAATGCAGGATGCTGTGGGGTGGGGAGGAACAATGGGCAAATTACATGCCTCCCATTGCAAAATCCATGCCCCAATAGAAAAGAATATTTGTTTTGGGATGCTTATCATCCTGGTGAAGCTGCAAATACTATTGTTGGAAGGAGATCTTACCGTGCCGAGAGCCCATCTGATGTATACCCATATGATATTAGTCGTCTAGCCCAACTTTAGTCTATAATTAATTACACAATATTATCATCATAAATTATCTATATTTTAAAGATTATAATTTTGTGCAATATTTGATTGTATGTCGTGTATTGGAATTGTGATTATAATGCATTCGAGTTAATTTTATTGTCTCATCAATTTTTTTTTTTTTTTGAAATGTTGTTTAGATGCTTTAATTTCATTTTTCCCTCAATTACATATTTTAAAAGTTTAATAATTCGAGAATAACCAAATTTTATGTATATAATGTTGAGTAATATGGTTGAAAAAATCCCAAAAATAATAATTCTACAAAAAAAATTATTATTATGTGGGAAAAACATAAAACTGGGAAGGAAAAGCTGGAGTGTTTGGATATAGGTTTAGCACGAGTTCGAACACAAAGTTCTTTTCCTGAAAACGTTATTTGCTACCTCCCACAAGTGCTAAGAGCGTTGTAGCCTAGGTTTCCTAGGGTAAAACGTGCTACGATTCTTTGTTTAAGCACCTAAACAAAGAACCTGGCAAACAAAGCAATAGCAAGAACACTGCTGGGTAAAGAAGAGAGTAGAAGCAGAAGTTTTGAAGCAAAACAGTACTGGAATTCCTTTGGTTTTGTGCTGTGTAAAATGCTTCTGCCCTACCTCTCTTTATATAGGGCTGTTGGAAGGGATAGCATTCAACATGGCCATTAATTGGTATTAAACCAATTGTATAACACCTGTAACAGCCACCACTAAGTAGGATTAAACTCAGATTTAAAATTGGAATTAAAACAGTATTAATTCCGTAACAGATGAGTTTAATTTGTACAACAGGCTGAACTTTCGGGTTTCAGATCGTTGGGGTGCAGGTTCACACGAGAGTACATCTCTCGTGCGTGCTGTGGTGCGACCCGAGAGTGCACCTCTCGTGGTCACAGATGCACGAGAGTTGTGCTCTCGGTGCACCACAACCTCTCGTGCTCTCTGTAGCACGAGAGTATGTGCTCTCGGTTTGGTTCGGTTTCGGCCGAACCTTCTCGGTGCACCACAACCTCTCATGCTCTCTGTAGCACGAGAGTAGGTGCTCTCGGGTTGGGCCGAACCAAGTGACTATATCAGATGATACCGAACCTTCTCGGTGCACCACAACCTCTCGTGCTCTCTGTAGCACGAGAGTAGGTGCTCTCGGTTTGGGCCGTACCGAACCTTCTCGGTGCACCACAACCTCTCGTGCTCTCTGTAGCACGACAGTAGGTGCTCTCGGTTTGGGCCGTACCGAACCTTCTCGGTGCACCACAACCTCTCGTGCTCTCTGTAGCACGAGAGTAGGTGCTCTCGGGTTGTGCCGAACCAAGTGACTATATCAGATGATACCGAACTTTCTCGGTGCACCACAACCTCTCGTGTTCTCTGTAGCACGAGAGTAGGTGCTCTCGGGTTGGGCCGAACCAAGTGACTATATCAGATGATACCGAACCTTCTCGGTGCACCACAGCCTCTCGTGCTCTCTGTAGCACGAGAGTAGGTGCTCTCGGTTTGGGCCGAACCAAGTGACTATATCAGATGATACCGAAGTTTGGCATAACTTAGCCCGCAAGGCGGGCCAATTTCCGAACGACATTCGTGCACGCAGGTGAGCTCGGGCTTGAATCAAGCCTTTTCGATCTCTTTGCAATGCTATACAATTCTACAAGCTTCAAAAGAGCTCTTGTATATAAGGGGGGCGGGGGGGGGGGGGGGGGGGGGGGGGGGCGGGGCAAATCTTCTTTCCAAACCAATGCGGGACAAAGTTCACTTTGTTCCCTTCATTTCCCAACTCAATTGGGTTTACTTTGAGAATCAATATCTCATTCACCCATTATCCGTTTTGAGCGTACAATATATCAATCTCTTCGTCTCACTACGAAGAACCCGAAACCACTTTGACCCGACTCAAATCGAAAGTGGACCGCACTGATAAGTGTACCACAAAATAGCCACTTAATATGCCATTTTAATCTAATTTTTTCAACATATAACACATAAATACTTTATTTGTCTCACAAAAAAGTCACCACAGGTAAATGTAATGATCTTAAAATATATATTTAATGCAGGGTCGGTCCTGGTCATGTCTCGACAGGGAGACCGCACAGGGCCTCCAATTTTTTCGCAAATTATGCTGTGGAAACGTGGTCACCATGCGCATGGTGAACACAGGGGTAGATCCATAATTTTTATGCTATAGATTCATAGTTTTGATTTTCATTTGTTGTTAACGACGTTTCTCTCTTCGCAATTGCATTATTTCGTCTTCGCAAAATAGAAATTATGAATCTACAGTATAGAAATTATGAATTTAGAAATTATGAATCTATAGTATAGATGTTATGAATTTACAGTATAGAAATTATGAATCTGCAGCTTAGAAATTATGGATCTATTCCGTGTTCACCATGCGCATGGTGAACACGGTTCCACAGCATAATTATTGCAATTTTTTGGGGCCCAATTTTTTAAAAAATATTTTATATATAATTTATTTTTTTATACTTGATAATTATTATATTTTTGAATTCATTAATTGGTCTTAATTGTAATTGAAAATAAAATTTTAGAAGTAATTGACATCGAAATTTTAGTGAATAATTTGTACGGAGTATTTAAATATGAATGAAAAATGACACTTTTAAATTAACTTTTGAATTGTATTATTTCTTTGTTAAATTTTTATTATGCATTATATTTGGACAAAAAAATTAATTACATTTTTATTTTTGTCATAGAATACAATAACTTGAAGTCCAAATGAATTTGAACTCAATTACCTCAGTTATAGAGATTTTCTAGATCTTTTAGACTTCTATCTTCATGGTATGAGATTATGTTTCTTACCTTTATAAATAGAAATCTCTATCATTATATAGCAAAATTTAAATATTAAAAAAAATCTTTCTCCCTATGTTCTTGTCGCTTTATTATTGTCTTTGTCTTTGCAGTAGTTTACTTTATTATATTTAGATTGCATATCAAAACAAAAACAATAAAGGTCTAAATTAAACTATTAGACAATGCCCCTATTTTTAATGGAACGGTCCTTATTTAATGAATTAACTAAGTAATATATTTATATATTTGTGCATAGTACATAAATGTATTGTAATTTTTATTTTAATAATATAAGTAACCGGTTTCTAGAGAACATCTTTTATTATATGAAATACTCCGTAATAAATATTGAAATTAGATGGTAAAAATCTATTATGTATGTAATTCAAATTCGGCAAATCTAGACTTTCCCTAAATCATTGTACTTTTGGTACGTCTAGCTGAAAAGTTAGTTGGAATTTAAATTTTGAAAAGCTAATACTGTTAAAGAAACCTTACATTTTACACTGGCAAATTATTATGCGGATGCAGGTCCACCTAATTGTAAGGTGGATCCAGATTCAAATGTTCACAATTTACATACTAAATATTCATAATTTATCTTTAAAAAATGTCATAATTTGTATATTACAAATGCACAATGTTAACGTATATGTAATTGATTACCTTGTTTTGTATTTATAAGTTCTTTTCAAATACTACAGTCACACAATATTAATAGATGAGGGAGAATTGCCTTTTTCAGTTGTTATGTGTTTTGACTTTTAAAAAAATGTACAATTTATATTCTAAAAATTCACAATTTCAATATTAAAAATACACAATTTATACGTATTTTAGAACTGAAATCCACCTTGTAAAGTGGACCTAGTCCATGGTATAACAACTCTTCTACCAATAGTTATGCTGTGCAACCGAATGCACCATGCGTATGGTGCATACGATGCAAAACGACGTCGTTTTGACTAAAAACGCGCGTCTCACTTAAAAAAAGAAATCTAGGTTCGATTCTCGACAATAGCATTATTGTGGATATATAGTTATGAATTTCTGGATATATAGTTATGAATTTATGGATATTTAGTTCATTCATTGGGGATATTCAGTTCATTCATTCACTGTGGATATATAGTTATGAATTTATGGATATTTAGTTCATTCATTGTGGATATTTAGTTCAATCATTGTGGATATTTAGTTCATTCATTGGGGATATTTAGTTCATTCATTGTGGATTTTTACTTCATTCATTCACTGTGGATATGTAGTTATGAATTTGTGAATATATAGTTATGAATTTATGGATATATAAAAATGTTATTGCCAGGAATCGAACCTGATTTCTTTTTTAAGTGAGACGCGCGTTTTTTAACCAAAACGACATCGTTTTGCATCGTATGCACCATGCACATGGTGCATTCGGTTGCACAGCATAATTTGCGCTCTTCTACCCCACCTTACATAATTTAGCCGGGCTAGATGGTCATCTTTAAACTTATCCAATATTTGTAATTTTGTATAGTGAATTAGTTGCCAAAAATAGCAATTTTCATTTCATTCCATTATCTTATAAGCAAATAAATACGGAGACGGCATTGCGTGTCTTGAAGACGAAATGCATGCATATATGCCTACGTGTCCACCTCAGATCACCTCTGCATGCAGCCTGCCCACGTGTCCTTTCCACATCCACCCACGTCCTCACTCCCCTTCTACAAATTAAACCCTCCTCTTCTCTTCCCTTCCCAACTAATTTCACCACCGCACTGCACCTACAAACTAAACTTTCTGGGAACAATATAATATAATATAATATAATATATGGCGTCGTCGGCGGTGGAAGGTGAGGACGGCGCTGAGATGCCGCCGGGAAAGGCGATGACGATGGGGCAACACGCGGTGGACAAAGGAGCTCAGATGCTGCAATCTTTTAGTCCCATCAAAGAGATGAGCCAACACGCCTGCACATTCGCCATCTACTCCCATGACATGAGCCGTCAAATCGAGACTCACCACTTCATCACCCGCATAAACCAGGATTTCCTGCAGTGCGCCGTCTACGACTCCGATCAATCCCACGCCCGCCTTGTCGGTAAAACACTACCATACCGTCTATTTATCTATCTCTCACGATTAATAAACAAACTTGAAAAACCAATAAGAATATATGTACCTTACTTTTAAACGGGAAGGAAAACTAGGTTCCTTTACTAACTCAAAAATGAGAACTGAGAATTAGAAAATATAAAAAAGAAAAATAGTTTTTCATTTTGATTTTTTAAAATTTTCAAAACA